TCACAGACATAAAATACCTTTAGACCGACAACAGCAGGGGCAAAATTTAAGGAAAGTCTCCATTTTTAATAACCATGAGCAAATGGCTGCCTTGTCCCCAGGGGTTTCATGATTTGCTGTGCAGCACTGCTTTACATCAAAAAAGATGGATTGGGGCAACTGTGGCAATTGTCCATCAAACATTATTTGGCCCTGCTGATCTTTTTATTCAAGTTCTAACTCTGCACAGTTCAATTTTTCTTCCTCATAATATTGCCCATTATCACAAGCCATTAGTAGAAACCAAGGTGCACATTAGGTGAAATTCAGATAAATTCTTGACATCGCTGTTTAGGGAATACATGTATTTTGAAAAGCAAAGTTAACCCATTTTCTCAAGTTTTATCTGATAGAGCACTGAGAACTGTGTTTCCAAAACATTTCAAAAATAAATTCTAAAAATTAAAATCACATACATTATGGGGATTTGTTCAGGCTTTTTGAAGGTGAGCAGTGAACATGGACAAAAGTTTAAGTGTTCAGAGCTCTTATTTAAAGAGGGATCTACCTTAATTTTGACAATTGAACCAAAACACAAAAAGGGACCGCGTTGTAAACACTTGGCAGTATTTTCAGTCACCATCTAAAATTTCCGATTTGTATCCAACTCAACAGACTTGAGCACACTGTTGAAATATTTCTGCCCCCACTTTCGGGATCAATCGTTGATTTCTGTCGGAGCTGTTGGTCCATAGATATTTTAGGTTTGTGGTCTTCCCTGATTGATGTTACAGTATTACTGTAAAACAGCGCCCTCGCTTGTTAGAAATAGGGAAAGACAACTTTAAGTGTTTAAAAATGTCACTTTTTGATTCCCTAAACCCTAAAAGGGTGTCTGAAAAAATATTTTTAACAAAGAGTAGAAATCACAAATGCTTTCGGAAGTAACTGGTCAGCACTGTCAAAGGAATCCTCTTGTCATAGTTTTTTCTGACATGAAAACGGATGAAAAGCAATAGACACGAATAGTTTTTCAATGAAATAAAAGGTGTACAAATCAGGAGCGTACAAGGATTCTATCATTTTTGAAAACATGTCTCAATTTCTGCTGCGACTTAGTTCCTTTTGTGATTAATTTTTTCCCCAGGCCTCCTCATATGAAAGCTGTGGGTATGCCCCAGGAGAAGCAGACCATGATGCTGATGAGAAGAGCGCCCTCGCCTCCTTCAACCTGGAGAGAGGGAAGATGGAGGACAAGATCCTATGGGACTTCGCAGAGATGATTCGTGAGAATGTCAAGGAGAGGAAGTAACTCAGATAGATGGCAGTCCACGCCTACGTCTTTGAGGAGGAACAGTTTCCAAGATTGCATGAGGGATCCTCTTCAGAGTCTTAGGCATTGATTCACAAAAAGGCAAGGAAAGGACTCGATCTTCTCAGAGATGCAGTTCCTTGCTTCCACCTTGGTGATGGAGCAAGTCTATCTGCATTTGTACACTACTCAAAGAATCAAAGGATCATACGTAGTGATTAATAATTAAAACCAATTGTATTCATAGTGAGCGTCATTTAATTTGGCTATTTTCTGGCATCAAAACAAGAAACTTCCGCTACAGAGTACTGAAGTCTCACGACACTGAAAAAAAAACAACTTTGGCCAGCACCTTGTCCAGTTCTTTTACGGCCCTGAAAATGATGTATAAAAAATTGAGTTTTACCAAGTAATGTGAGGGCGCTATTTATGAGTTAAAATGATATCACAGTAATGCGAGGGCACTGTTTATGAGTTAGAATGATATTGCGGTAATGTGAGGGCGCTGTTTATGAGTGAGAATGATATCGCAGTAATGTGAGGGCGCCGTTTATGAATCAGAATGATTTCGCGGTAATGTGAGGGCGCTTTTTATGAGTACATTCTGGTAATGTGAGGGCGCTGTTTGTGATTCTGAATCACAGACATGAAGCACTTTGAAGATGTATGTATCTCAGCATGAAAAAATTACATGTAATTTTTATTCAGTAAAAGAATGTATTGTCTTACATCTGTTTGCAAATGTTTCCCAAAATTACATATTTTTATTATCATCTGTAAATATGATGATTGATAAAAAAAATTCAAATTTGTGGTTGTCAGGACATAAAAAAAAAAAGCTTCACAGTTTTCCCAAACCTAAACACAAAATGGTAAGAGGCCCAATATTTCAGTCACTTTTTCTCCAAATGTCCTAAACTCACACACATACGTGTACATCATTTTACCACAATAGGTACCTCCGAATAGAGATATTGACAAATGGGCAGAACCGCCGACATAGGGCTGGATAGCTCAGTTGGTAGAGCACTGGTACGGTATTTCAGAGGTTGCACGTTCACATCCGGTCAATTTCTTTGTTCATCTTTATAAGTTTTTCCTTGGACAAAATTCTATGTGCATTTTGTATTTTCCAAGTTGTACATCCACATTGCCAGAGCATTAGAAAAAAATCTTTCACTTAAAATTATCACAAAACTGCAAGTCGCAAATTGTTGGCTCGGTGTTGAAAGGTCATTTCTGCAAAAATGTAATTTCTGAAAACACTCTAAGGGCCTTACTCTGTGCATGAAAGAAATATTTGATATAAAAAGTTTTTTTAATTTTTTCAGTCAAACCATTAGTTTTTGTGGCCAACATGTTTAAATTTTAACCAATTCTGTTTCCCTGATCAATGTCTAAAACAATATTTTTTACGTTACACGTTTTAGTGCATTTAAGGACCTCTTAGCACTGACATGAAATTTGTTTCATTTGAAATTATTACCTTGCAAAAATGCTTTGTGTATGTGAAACAATCACCATTTATTGCTATAATCAGTTAATTTCTATTTGTAAGTGAAATAAATGCTTGTTAATTTAAACTAGCAGAACAACTTGTTTGTACATTTATATCTATTTGTAAACTGTAGTACTTTGCCACTTGACCTTTCTCCTAATCTGGACCATTTTACACTGCCAGAGTTTAAGGTACATCTGTTTCCATCTTTAGATTTTACATTACAGCCTCATCCTACATGGAATCCCTGCCAGTCTTAAACATCTTCCTAGCTCCTTGTATAAAGTTCCCTCTTACAGCCTTTTAGTCTCAATCTTATAAGGGCTACTATAAACCCAATAGCAATATGGAACATTGA